TATATTCTCGATGTCAGTGTATTGCACATGACGTTCAATAGTCTCAACATCAATGAATTATTACAAAACTTCCTACAACCATCTGCTTTTAACTCTTATTATAACAAAAATTATACAATAATCAAATTTTCACTCACAAAAATACATTAATCAATAATATCTAAACTAAACAGTCTTTTATATCATGACACATTGTATATATATATATATATTGCTAATAAGAATTCTCCTTAAAATCCTGCTAATATCTGTGTTTCTGATGTTAAATATTACAGGCTTAAAATATTTCAATTGTGAATAAAATAAATTATTTACCATCTGTGCCATGAAATCTATGATAATGATAAGGATTACCACATCATCAGCACAGTTTAATACAGTATATAGTATAAAAGACAGAAGTGACTGCTAGAGAAAGGTGAAATGAATGCAGTCTGTTACATGCATTTTGTTTTTATTTACATTATCAAAAATCCATTCATTTCCATTATTTAGTCATATTGGCCAGCAGGTAAAATAATTTATTTTATGGATAATTTTAATTTTAGATCATAAATAGTAGAGGAAGAAAACATTAGAAGATTCACTGTGTTTAAGGTTTGAGATTAATCTGTGCAATTTTACAGATTGATCTAATTGTGTGTCATGTATGTGGACGAGGAGATGCCGAAGCCAATATGTTACTGTGTGATGGATGTGATGACAGCTACCATAATTTCTGTCTTGTTCCACCTTTGCATGAAATACCTAAAGGAGACTGGAGGTGCCCACGCTGTGTTGCAGAGGTAGGGCTCTGCTCTTACTGATGATTGACTTTTTGGCATTACAAACTTCAAATATTACCAGTTTTATTTTGTGGATAGGTTGACATTTACACTGACAGTGATACTTATCTGTCTGTAGTGTTTTTAAGAACAAACCTGTTATATTGAAGTTGTTTATTAGATTACATCTTTTTTCTGTAATTTCTGGGCTAAGTTGTCAGTATTATGATATTATAGTGATGGATAAGCAAAAAAAAATAATTAAAAAACAAGACCTTTGTACAGAAATAAACATGAAAAACTATGTTATAATTCATTTCATGATAATAAAAGCTGAATTCTTCCTGTTGTTTTAGGAGGTGCAGAAGCCCCAAGAAGCATTTGGGTTTGAGCAAGCTAAGAAAGAGTACACCCTTCAGGAGTTTGGAGAAATGGCTGACCAGTTCAAGTCAGATTACTTTAATATGCCACCTCATGTAAGGAGGCTATATTATTGTAACTAACTTTGATTACTTTAATATGTCAGATTGTTTGAGGAAGCAGTGGCAGAGTGCCAGCTTTTTTGTGAGGTGGGGGGCAATTTTTAATACCTCCCCACTCTCTATGAAAAAGAAAATGCTTTCTTTAAAAGAAAGTAATTTACTTTTTTCTTTATCTGTCAATTTATTTATTTGACATCTGACCTTCAGTTGATTTTTCATCCTAAAGAAATTTGAAACAACATGCATTACATATAATAACAATGGTAATCAGAATAGTGAAACACCAACTGAGTCTTTGAAGGCCGAACTTTTAAGCAGAAACAACAAAGGTTGATGAGCTGTCAGTTTAGGAATGAAATTTGGAAATAGCTTGTGGTTATGATCTTTAACATATTACATTTATGATATTAAATATCTTTATTGATACTTCTTACTGGGATATAATTATAATAAGGCAAGATACTAGATGATAACTTGCTGAATTTTGTAACCCTGCCTTCCTGTCCACCATGTTATTGTGAGGAAAATACGTTATCCTTAAAAAGTAATTTGATTTACGGATTTGCTACGTGGATCTTTCAAGGGAAGTTCATCACCTGCATCAAAATAAAATAAATAAAAATGATTAGTATGTGTAAGTAGTGTTATAAAAAGATTTGAATATGGTAATAATTAATTAATAGGAGTCAGTTTATGGGGTTGTACAAGATGCAACCATGTAGAGATGATTAACTAAAACAAAATTTTTAAAAGAAGTACAAAAAGTAATACTTTGTAAACATTTTTCAGCCACAATAAAAAGTAAGTTTTTCTTCAAGTTAACTTTTTACCATGTAGTACTCTTTTTTTTGAAAGATTAATTTTTCTTTTGTGTAACTTATTATCCTTTCTGTTTGTGTGAGTTCTGTACTTCTAACAGGCTACTTTACATTAACAGCACAGTAATATTATCACACTGTACACCAGAAAAGTTTTCTTTATAGTTTAGTGGCACCATTTAAAACATTTGTAAAGCTTTTGAAGGACATTCCAAATTACTTTGCAGATACTTGAATATTTATAGCATTTTCAAGTTTTATTTGTAAATATTTATTCTACAAATTTTATTTTGAACTCATGTCCTTATGGGAGAGTTTAAAAATTATTAACATTCTTCTGTTTGAAGTCTGTTTTATCCCAAGAACTTTTTTGTGGCTACTATGTAGATGATATGAATTGAAAGCATACAATATGTAGACATATGATTTATTAGTGCAGGTTTATAATTGTATTAAGAAGACTGAATAATAAGGCTTTGTCTTGTACAGTTTATAAGAAACTCTCTATAGGTGTTAGAAATACAAATATGATATATATATATATATATATATACATACACACACAGACACACACACACACATACTTGATATTATCTAGTAAAGTTCTGTCATGCATTTAACTTGCTTCTAGCAACATCATTGATATAGATACATTAGGTTTGCTTTCAACACTACTTTATTTCTATTGAAAATAATGCTTTATTGCAGTTCTAGGCATAACCAAGCAGTAGCAAGTCTTATTCACCATTTCACACAGAACTTGCGAGAAGAACTTGAAGATCAGAGCTGAAGACCTAAAGCATGTCTGTTATATAATGTCATGCGATGAAAAAGTACTTGTAGGACCTATAAAAGTTTTTTTAATCTGTAAACATCGAGTAATTTTAACATAAAATATCTATGGAGATTTAACATACAATCTTCACGTTTGAAAAACAAATGACAGAGTATAGATTTTAAATATTTTATAATACTTTGTTTTATGATCATTTTTTGCATTGGATATCACAGTTTATAGAAGGTAATGACACTATTGTGTGCTTGCATCACAAATGTTTTCTTTATGGTCTAATATGTGTTTAATTATGTCACTACTTTACACATTTTTAAGTGTAGTTATTACTTATTTTGTGAAAAAAAATCTTAGTGTTTAATTCCAGTTGTAAGAATGTAAGAAATTGAGAATTTTTTGTCTTGTCAAAGCTGTAGGGTTCTTGTTTATGGTTGATGACAAACTTAGGAAGGCAATAGAGAAAGAAAAACCTTACTTTTTTATGGAGGGGGGGGTTGGGTTGAGTCATGAATTAAAGTATTAATTACAGAAGCAAATACCTCATGAAAAAACTTTTTTTTTTTTTTTACAGTTGGTTCCTACTTCATTGGTTGAGAAAGAGTTTTGGCGATTAGTTAGAGCAGTAAATGAAGATGTGTGTGTTGAATATGGTGCTGATATTCATACTATGGAGCATGGTTCTGGATTTCCTACAAAAACAAACAAATGTGCTTTACCAGGAGAAGAGGTGATTATATTTTGTTATAACAAACTTACTAATAGGGTTTGAACTTGTGCGTGAACTTTCATTTTGTCTATAAACACCACAAATAAAATAAGCAATGGCTCATCTTGTGTAGGAGTTGCTTATCAGTATCAAATTTCTTATTTTTTTATGAATTTATTCTACTTCTTTTAGGCCTGGCATGGCCAGATGGTTAGGGTCCTTGACTCGCAATCACGAGTTAGAATCCCTTTCCCACCAAACATGCTTGCCCTTTCAGCTGTGGACGTGTTATAATGTGACAGTCAATACCATTATTCATTGGTAAAAGAGTAGCCCAAGAGTTGGCAGTGGGTGGTGATGACTAGCTACTTTCCCTCTAGTCTCACACTACTAAATTAGGGATGGCTAATGCAGCTAGCCCTCGTGAAACATTGCGCACAATTCAAAACAAACCAAATCTTCTTCTTTCTTTATTTTTCTAAAACTTTTTTTATTTTCCAGGAATATATTAATTCTGGCTGGAACCTCAACAACCTTCCCATCCTAGAAAACTCTGTTTTGAAACACATTAATGCTGATATCAATGGAATGAAGGTAATAATTTTAGTTTTTTTTTCATTAATTGGTTAAACTTCACAACCACATAATTTTGTTACCATACATTTCATTTAAAGTATACACTACTGTATTGTTCAATCTCTTTTGAAATAAATCATTTAAAAATTCATTTTGCATAAACCTGAAAGGGAAGCAACTTACTATTAAATATTCATCCTAATGGAAGGAGTGTTTTAGTCTATCATTAATGTTATATTTTTCTTTTGTAGAAGTTATTTAACAGAAATTCATTTTCTGTACTAGTGCAACTTGGGAAACATTTTCATATAAATTATCCAAATAATTTTTACTGATCTAAAAGTTTTTACTACTTGTTTATATATGTACATTTGTTGATTTCAGTGCCATAGCTAAAATAATAATGAAATAGTTCTTAGACAATTAACATTTTTCAGTCACTATGCACTTCATTTATTGTTCTATGTTATCTTCGTTATGCCTGTAGTTCCTGCAGCACTTATTATCTGAAGAAGTGGAAGATGAGAATATTTTTTGATAACTGCTTTGCATACTCACGTAGAATTCCGGTGTTTTGATTATGGAAAGACATGCTTGTACAGTACATAAGGATCTCACGTTACAATCAAAGTATTTAAGACATAGGAGAAATTTAATAAGTAGTCACTAATTGCAAGAATGTTGATTCATTTCAGTCTACTCAACATTTCCTGTCAACAATTTTATTGGAAGGGACCTGTTGTATTTTTGAGTATACAAAATATAGAAAGTCTGTAATGTGAAATTTATTTAAATGAAGGTTTTTTTTCTGGATTTGCCAAGAGTAATATAAGTAATACTAGTGTAGTAAAAGAGACTGTGCCTTAGTTTCAGTTTCAATGATGTGAAAACATGCATTTTGAATTTTTTTTTGCACATTTTTTTCAATATTTCTTTCCAGACATCAAAGTTTGTTATTAGATGGTTATATATTAAATTTTTTTTCTACGTCACTGATGAAAATAATTAGACCTTGTATTAATCATAGTCCCATAATAAATAGGTTGTGCTAGTTGTATGTGAATTCCAAGCACTAATAAAACCTTACATTACTCTGCTCATCTTCTTCAGCTAGGTTTAACTAGTGTGAAACACCTGCCTATTGTACTTAATATTAATTTCTGATCAAAGCAAACTGCTTATATAGATGAGAACTAAATATTTATTCAATAATTAATAGAAGTAGTTTAATATAAAGTTTAGATAAACTATTAAAAAATAAGTTTCAGCACTTTCATGTTATCTCTCAAGTCCAACTTTTGGATGTAAAAGCACTCGCATAGCTTTTAAGGGAAAATCCAAGTTACTTCAGGACATAAGATGTCAAAAAGGGACTCAGCATAAAGTGGCAATCAGAGTTGTCATAATTTGACAAACTTCAGACTTTCCACAATTATTCTTCTGTTGCAACTTTTATTCAAATATACTTGTTCTTTAACAGCAGTTCTAAACTAATATTTATTTTATATGGTGAAACAGTAAAGCACATGTGATGTGTGATTCAACCATACTCCATTATTTATGTATTTTTCCTATTATTTTGAGAGTTGAATGATCTTTAACATTGTATGTTTTAGAGAATAATTTTTTATTTCAAGTAGACTATTCTTTTTCAGAAGTTGCTTTATTTTTACAAAGTGTATTTATTTTATCAAGAATGTGTAGTTCTTATTGACTTAACACAGGTTGCTGCTTTTTTATTTTTAAGATTAGTATTTATGACATACTTGATAATTTTAATTTCTATGGAAGATTATTGTTTGTTTACTCACCTATTTTGATCTCTGAAATACGAAATGCTTCTAATAGTTAAACTACGAAGCAGAATTTTGTCTTTTGAGATCCATCTTTTATCTTTTGTAAAGAATGATAAGTAATAACAATTCTTATCTTGGAAAATAAGTTTACTTTAAACTTCTAAACAAAAGATGAATAAATATGAGATGAAAATATCAATTACATCATTTGTAAAAGAACAAAAAACAAAAGTGAAAAACGTTTGAGGTACATCCAAGAGGATAATTTATTCTCTAACATTGATGATTCATAAACTGTAGAGAAGAAATATCAGCAAATAATTTAATACTTTATATAGCTTTTGAAAACACTTTGATTCAACAGATTCCGTGGGTCTATGTGGGGATGTGTTTTTCTACTTTCTGTTGGCACAATGAGGATCATTGGAGCTATTCGATCAACTACCTTCATTGGTAAGAAACAGAAGTAGTGTGAAATATACTATTTTGGTAAAAATCTCCATGTATGGTTTGATACTGGACTTCAAGAGGTCAAGAACATTTCATAAAATTTATGGAACATCAAGGAATCAAGAACATTGCTTAAAACTTATGGGACATGATTCAAGGGGTCAAGAACATTGCTTAAAATGTATGGGACATCAAGGGATCAAGAACATTAATTAAAACTTATGGGACATCAAGGTACAATAACATTTTTCTTAAGATGTACAGGACCTCAAGAGGTCATGAACATTACTTAAAACTTATGGGGCATAAAAAGGTAAAAAACATTGCTTAAAAGTTATGGGACATCAAGGGGTCAAGAACATTTCTTAAAACATATGAGGCACGAGGTGGTCGAAAACATTGCTTAAAACATACAAGACACCAAGGGGTCGAGAACATTACTTAAAACTTACGGGACACCAAGGGGTCAAGAACATTGTTTAAAACTTGCGGGACACCAAGGGGTCAAGAACATTGCTTAAAACTTATGGGATACCAAGTGGTCGAGAACATTGCTTAAAACGTACAAGACACCAAGGGGTCGAGAACATTGCTTACAACTTACGGGACACAAAGGGGTCGAGAACATTGCTTAAAAACGTTATGGGACACGAAGGGGTCGAGAACATTGCTTAAAACTTATGGGACATCAAGGGATCAAAACATTGCTTAAAACTTATGGGACATCAAGGGATCAAGAACATTGCTTAAAATGTACAAGACACCAAGGGGGTCAAGAACATTGCTTAAAACTTTGGGACATCAAGGGGGTCAAGAATATAGTTTAAAATGTATGGAGCATCAAGGGGTCAAGAACATTGCTTAAAACTGTATTCAAGATATAGCTGGTTTATATAAAAAGCAAAAATACACAGTTTTTGATGAACTTACCAGTATTTTGGAGTGGTCAGTGTTTCAGTATTCTGAGGTAATAAATTTTGTATTGCATGATTTGTATGATATAATTTGATTGCATCCTGCTTATATTTTGTTAAATCTTGAACATACCTAAATCAGAGGCAGTGTTTCAACTAAACAAATGAGGAATAACATTGACTTGTATAATTAAATATATGGATTCTATTTTCTCATAAATTCCTGTTTTATTATGAAGTCCCAAATGAAGAAAACCTAAAGACAAAAGATGTATTACTTTTCAATGATTGAACGTTTGCATGATATTGTCATGATGGAACAAGATAGCAGTAAAATCAATGTCTTAATTATTACATTTTATTTCAAGCATTCTTCTGGGTAACCATTCTTTTTATAGGCTTCATGTCAAAGCTTCAGCATATTTTTATAGCATGGTTGTCCAAAATGTCATTCAGATATAATAATGTTGGTTGAATATATTTTTTTGTAATAGTTTCCAGTGAGTTAATTTTGTTTTTTTCCTAAAAAAATCATGAATACTAAGGTTGAAAGTGATTTATTTAAAATGTTAAGATTATAAGCTTAGAAAGTAAATGTTAACTATTTTGAATCCCACAAGGATTTACTTGATATTACCCTCCTTTTTTTGTTTTAAAAGGATATTAGTGTTGTTGATAATAAATCTGAAATTGGTGGGCTTTGTAACTGAGTTTTTCATTTAACTTTTGTCATATTACATTTGTTTGGATAAAGTTTCTACATTTTGTAAAATAATTCATTTTATATTCTAAATCAGTTATATGACTCAAGGTTCAGTAACTGAGGGCAGAAATCTGTAAGATTATACAAACACTTACTAAGTAGGCAGCATTTAAAGTATTTTTTGTATTGTTACTTTAGATGATTAATCTACAAGTGTGACATCACCAAATTATACATGTCACATGTGAGATTCTGTTTAAATTATTAAATTATTATTTTCTTTTTTTGTATAACTGTTATTGTATATAGATTTAGATAAATACTTATTTTTATGATTTTGGAAAGTTTTGAAAAGAATCTACAGTCAAGAAGAAAATGGGTTAAAATTGAAATTCATCTGATGAGGCTAGATTTTCTTTCTTTTCTTTGGCTGTCTTCTCATCTTTTGAATATCTTATTTCTTAGTTGATATTAAATTGAATGTAATAAATACATCTATTACAGCACCTGTGACTTTATTATGTTTAATTTTGAAACCAGGGGAGAACCGAAGACGTGGTACGGTGTACCAGGAGATAAAGCTGAAGATTTTGAAAGTGCTATGAAAAGTGCTGCTCCTGAACTCTTTGAAACTCAGCCAGATCTACTTCACCAACTTGTTACTATCATGAACCCAAATATTCTCATGTCTTCAAAGGTTCCTGTAAGTTTTATTGAATGAAATTGTTACACTTATATTCTGTGGATCCAATGTTGTCAGGTAGAGGATTGTTACACTTGCATTCTGTGGATCCAATGTTGTCAGGTAGAGAATTGTTACACTTGCATTCTGTGGATCCATTGTTGTCAGGTAGAGAATTGTTACACTTGCATTCTGTGGATCCAATGTTGTCAGGTAGAGGATTGTTACACTTATATTCTGTGAATCCAATGTTGTCAGGTAGAGGCTTGTTACACTTACATTCTGTGGATCCAATGTTGTCAGGTAGAGAATTGTTACACTTGCATTCTGTGGATCCAATGTTGTCAGGTAGAGAATTGTTACACTTATATTCTGTGAATCCAATGTTGTCAGGTAGAGGCTTGTTACACTTACATTCTGTGGATCCAATGTTGTCAGGTAGAGGATTGTTACACTTGCATTCTGTGGATCCAATGTTGTCAGGTAGAGGCTTGTTACACTTGCATTCTGTGGATCCAATGTTGTCAGGTAGAGGATTGTTACACTTGCATTCTGTGGATCCAATGTTGTCAGGTAGAGGATTGTTACACTTGCATTCTGTGGATTCAGTGTTGTCAGGTAGAGAATTGTTACACTTACATTCTGTGGATCCAGCATTGTCAGGTAGAGGCTTCTTAACACTGTTATGAGTATAGTTAGCTGCAGCTATTGGTCAGTGAGAAAGAAAAGATATTGAATCTAGTAGTTTAAGTTAAATAGCAGTATTTAGCTGGATCTAATATACTCCAATGTAAGAATTGTTAGTTTGAAAATTTAGATTTTGGAAATTGTTACAATTATTTCCTGTACACTATTTATTTACATATTTATATATTAACACACGTATAAATGCCTATATGTCGTATTTTCTGAGTTCACATTATGCTCAGTTCCTAACATCTTTTACACAAAAACTATGTTTGTTTATCATGCTACTGTGACTATCCTAAGGGTCAAGGTATAATGGACAAAAAAAAAGTTGTACTTTTGTATTTATCTATCTACCTATACATCTGTTTATAGTATCTATTCTCCTATCTGTGTACAATTACCCTCATGTACTTGATAACAATTTTCCAAATGTTAGTCATAAATAGTTAAATTTTGTAAATACTTCTCTAGATTAGTTGTCGATTACCCTCGACCCTGGAGGGGTGTGTGTGTGGGTGGGGGGGGGGGTAAGGGGTATTGCAATTTGGTGTGTGTGTGTGTATGTGTCTGTCTGTCTGTCTGTGTTTCCATGAGTATATCTTGAAAATCAATTGACTGATGTATACAAAAATTTTACACAAGATGGGAAGTCGGCATGGGACAGTCCTCTCCAAATTTGATCCATATCTGGATTCTGGATCACTTTGAAGCATTTGTTATAATGGGGAGACTGAGCATTTTTGTGGTTTTGGGTTAATAACTCTAATGTGTGATCAGATTTGTACCAAATTTCATTGGCATATCAAGGTTGAGACTCATCACACTATAAAAAAACGATCTGGATAATTGATCATTCTGGATCTGAGTTTTTGAAGGCCAAATTTGATGTTATCCAATATAAGTATGTAATCTCGAAAAGGAGCTGCTGAGTGAGGGTATGCAATCTTTGTGGTTGATCTTGTTTTCTTGTTCATATACTTGAAGGATTATATCTATTTTAGAGATATAGCTGTTTAAAAATTAATTGTTACTAGTACAGAAGTTGTTTTAAGTTTTTCAGGATATAACTTGTGTATTAACAGTTATTTGTGTAAGTACGTTAAATTGGGAGTTTTAGGCAATAGGTAAGGACCAAAAGCTGGATCCAAATTAGCTTTAAATGAAAACCTGAAATGTCTATGTTAGATATTGATTTATTAAATCTACTTTCAAAATCCTTGAGAAATACTATAAGTACTCAAAGTTGGATTATATAATTTTATGTTAGTTGAGGGTTGGGATCTTTATATCAGATTTATCGGTATTTACAATGATTTTTTCTTGTATATACGTGTACACTATGCTACCAAAAATGCTCACCATGAGCTAATAAAAGATCTGTTCTTACTCAATTTGCATATGCATTTTATGTTGCAATGAGTTGAGGAATAAATGAAAGTCAGCAGCTGCCATAGGCAGCAAGTTTGAAGGAAGATAACTGAATTGTGGAATAAATGAAAGTTAGCTGCCATAGACAGCAAGTTTGAAGGAAGATGACTGAATTGTGGAATAAATGAAAGACAGCAGCTGCCATAGACAGCAAGTTTAGCTGACTTTCATTTATTCCACAATTCAGTCATCTTCCTTCAAACTTGCTGCCTATGGCAGCTGCTGACTTTCATTTATTCCACAATTCAGTCATCTTCCTTCGCTGCCATAGACAGCAAGTTTGAAGGAAGATGACTGAATTGTGGAATTAATGAAGGGCAGCAGCTGCCATAGACAACAAGTTTGAAGGAAGATGACTGACTTGTGGAATTAATAAAAGTATTTAACTACCACAGCCAACCAGTTCAAATGATGATGATACAAACTCATAGATCTTCAAACAGGAATCTTTTTTTTTTAATACAACAGTAGAGATTTGAATGTCCAAGGTATTTCAGCTCATCTGCTGTTACACATATCCAGTGTGAGTAATGTGCTTGAGAAATGGAAGACCAATGACCATGCTAATGTGAAAATTTGGCCTAGCTGCTCAAAATTAGTCACCTTTCAATCCATTTCACCCAAAGTTTAAATGAGAGCCAATGACCATGCTGATGTGAAAATTTGGCCTAGCTGCTCAAAACTAGTCACTCCTCAATCAAATTCACCCAAGGTTTAAATGAGAGCCAATGACCATGCTAATGTGAAAATTTGGCTAGCTGCTCAAAATTAGTCACTCCTCAATCCATTTCACCCAAGGTTTAAATGAGAGCTCAGGACTGCAAGTCATCACATCTGTTGTATTTAGGAAGTTCTAAGAACTTATGAGTTAAAGCAAAGAAGAAGTGGTAATATGTTATCTACACTCTGTCTAGTATATACAGTGCCAACTATCTTTTTGCCCAACACCAGGGCACATCAGGCCATTTGGGATAAGACAGATACAGAGTGGTTGTGATGCTATTTATATTATCAAATTGCATGAACAAGGACTATTATGGTGTGAAATAGATTAAGTTGAAGTGTGATTTTTACAAATCACAATTAGGTAAGGATTAATAACTTCATGATGTCAAAATGTCACAATTGGGCCTCCTAATAGGATCCACTCGATATACTTTGGAAAGTAACTCAGTGGGTGTAAACACAGTGTTACATAAACTAAGTTGAATTGTTAGTGCATAATTGTGTGAAAAATGCCAAAATGTGCTAAATTGCAAGATTTTGAAAAAAGAGGAGTTACTAACTGTTGAAAATGTGGAAAATCAATATGTGAAATACTTGTGGAGCTTGGGCACTTTGGATCTACTGTACCAAAGACCATTTCACAGTACTTGGCACTTGATATTTTGTGAAGTAATGACAGTTTTTCCATCAATTTTAAAAGTGGTTGAATACAGATCTGGAGAGATTCAGGTGAACAATTCAACGATGATTGTATGTCAAGTGTGAAGGAATATAGTGGTGGCATTATGGTGTGGGATTTTTTAATATTATAAATCAGGCATGGAATCTAGCTATACAGCTTTTACAGATTTAGTTGTCTATAGAAATCAAGATATTGTTGTAAATGACCACATTTTAGGAGCATTAATGGAGTTCTTTTTTTGTCAGCAGGCTAATGTGTTGTTCTGACACGATAATGCTTCCTGCATTGAAATATGCATGACTTATGTCTGGTTACAAAATAACAATATTAGTCTTTTGTAATAGCTTGTTTAGAACCTGTATCTAATTATTTTGGAATCATCTTGAAAGGTTAATTCAAAATGTTAGAATACAACCTTCCAGTGATCATGGAATAGCAGTGCTTTGGAAACATGGAAATCAGCTGTATTGGGCACCTGGCAGAAAATTGCTGAATAATAACAGTTATTTGTACCAAAGGTAGTGAAAAACCATACAAGATGACTATTACATGTCTAGCTAGCTTCATCAGTGTATAGATGTTGAACATTGGAAGGTCATTAGAAACATTGTGGTTATTTATTAAAACACAAACATGTTTTAATAAATTTATTTTACTCTAGTTTTTTTTGTATTATTTGTTTACTTAGATTTATAGGATGGATCAGCAAGCTGGGGAGTTCATGCTTACATTTCCACGCTCCTATCATGCTGGATTTAATCAAGGCTATAATTTTGCAGAAGCTGTAAATTTTTGTCCAGCTGACTGGGTAAGTTTTTTTCACTTTCAAGTTAAGTATGTATAGAAGATGAAAATCAGAATATACTGCTAGTTTTTCTTCACTAGAAAGCATTATTTGGCCTTTATTGTGGCTGCTTTCACTAACAGTATCCTCTATTAAGCATTTTGAAAGATGCCCTATACCAACACTCCTGATGTTTTGCAACACAATGTGGAAAGTGTGTTTTAATGATCAGTGTTATTCTTCACTAGTACCTGTAAGCACTATGTACTTAAGGGTTGTAACTGACATGTTAATGGATTAGGTTTAACACATTATTAGCAATCTAGTCATGATGCTTTCACTTGTTTCAATAGTTGATGTGTCTTCAGTGTCAGAATAATAACCCATAGAACTATTAGATTGAAAACTATGAAGCATGAGCAATATTCACTTCATTTGGATCTCGGTTGTTACCCTGACATCTAATTGTTTCTGTAAAATATATTTTTAACTTTCACAGCTGTCGATTGGACGTGAGTGTATCTCCCATTACAGTCTCCTGCATCGTTTTTGTGTGTTTTCTCATGATGAACTAATTTGCAAGATGGCAGCAGATCCTGACAGTTTAGAAATAAGTATTGCTACTGCCACATTCCAGGATATGAAGGAGATGGTAGAAAGTGAGAAGGAGTTAAGAAAGTGTCTTCTTGAATGGGTGGGTTTTCTTTGGAAAGAACAATTTGCAGAAAACATAATACACATGATCATTTTTAAACTTAACCAGATGTCAAATAATGTGAATATTAAAATTGTGTGTTTATTGATTATTTTAGATGTAAAATAGTATAAATAATGAAATGTATTGTGTGATTAAGTTATGTTTCATTGAATCTTTTTAATGCGAACTGTGATCTGTTTACACACACTTAAGTATTAATGTTTTAATGCATTTTCTTTTATAATGACTAAGATGAAAAAAAGTATTGAAACACTCCAATGAACAAGTGAACGTTTGATTAAATGAGAAAAATGTTATAAGAATATGTATGAAGATGCTAAAAAATTACTGAAAAATGTCACTTGTCAGGGTGTGACTGAAGCAGATCGTGAGGCATTTGAACTTCTAGCAGATGATGAACGTCAATGTGATTTCTGTAAAACCACATGTTTCCTCTCTGCTGTTACCTGTTCATGTGATAGCAGTAAGTTCTGAATTTGGATAATCTTTCATGCGTGCATATAGACTTCTTGCAATTAATATTGCTGTATATTTGGAGAAACTGATCAAAACACATGCACTTTGCTAATTATGAGTAAGTGTTATTGAAGAATAAAGCAAAGCTTTAACATTCATGTAATTTATAGGCTTAATAGAAAGATTCATTTCTTAGTTAACTGATAACATTTTATACTGCTCTTTTCTGTAAATTTTAATATAATGCTTTTTTAATAACCATCAGGATAAAGGATCAGGCAGATGTATGTGTGTGTGAAACTGAGAGTACAAAAGGTTGTTTTGATAAGAAATTATCATTGACTTTAGGAAGTTTACATATAGATAGATTTTATGCAGACACAAATTTCCAACAGCATAAAGTATATGAGTATTAATAAAATTGTAACTTCAAAGATGTAGTTACTTTCATTAAAATGTTCTAAGTACTCAAAACTAAACATACTTACTAAAGGTAGTTTCTGTATAGTACTTTTAAAAGGAGAAAATTATGGGCATGGACTTACCTGTTGAGACTTTTTCTCTGAACTTTTTTGTTTCAGTAGCCTTGGGATCACTGATTATACTGACTGACTCTGACAGACTCATTTGACCATCAACTCAACTTCCTGTTTACCAAAAAAAACACTTATTCCATTTTATTTTGCTTATCAAAATACCTTTTGAAATGAGTCAAGTATGTACTATCCAGTATCTAGCTATAACATTTTGACCATGTTAGCAGTTCATAGCTAATTTATTGTTTAGGTCCTCCAGCTTTCACTGTAACAGTAGTGTTTTGACTCATAAATCACATACTCAAAATGGTAAGTCAGGTCCCAAAACACACTTACCTCGTCTCACACTTTAGCTTTATCTCAATGAAAGTTCCCTTCTTTGCTCATCTAAGCATTGGTATGAACACTACCTTGCTTATTCCAGTCTTTATATCCCACTATATTGCCCTTAGTGATTATAATCTTGTGACTCTCTCCACCTACATCAATGCGCCCTCTATACCCAATCCATATATAAGCTCTTCGTTATTCTTTGTTATTTACTTTTTCTCAATGGCAGAAATTATGAAGATGGTCTTACATGTTTACAGCTAGTTTCTCTTCATTGCTTATACTACATTTGCAATGTTTTCTTTTGAATTATCTTAGATGTTTTCGTGGGGCTTGAGTTGGAGACATTTTCTAAATATGAAGACTCATGTTCACTTCTCAGACGCAGAACCATCTGATGCCCCTCCTCTACCACTTCACAATTCTAATATTACCCATGCATTGGAGAGGTGGGGGTGGGAGACCACTTTCGTGAAGGACATACAGTTCCTTATATACAGAGGTTAGACACTTTACTTCCTGTTTGGGGCTCTAGACAAGATGCCATTGTTCAACTTAAACAATCACAGTTTTCCAGAATTTGTCTGTCACTTACAACTGTTTTCCATTTTTTATAATCTTTGCAGTTGTTGTCTGAGGCCTTTCATTGATTGACTTCCACTTTGGTTATGTTATAAGCTTATGCTTCCTCCTTGGTATCTTGGTTGGTTTGTTGCTAAGATCTTTTAGAGAGAGAGATGCCTTACTGGAGGGAGTTTGCCATCCTGCATTGACCCCTAGGGATCTGAGAGAAGCTCCTTTTCTCAGTCTGCTTTGCAGGAATTCCAGAATCCATTGAATCTTGATTAGATGAGGCTTGCCTCCATTCTTCATTTTCTACGTTGGCTTCTTGACACTCCCAAAGTTCTTCTACTGGATGGTTTACTTTATTTTCTATTTATGTTCCCAGACCTCCTGCTTCAATGGCATGATCCATTGGAACATGAGTGTGATTTCGACCTTACTAGTGGGGATTCTCCTCCAGGGTAGAGTGCAGATTTTGGTATTAGCAACTTCCTTATGGGGTCGAGTCCTGTGGGGTCTCATCTCAGAGGATGCATGTCTGTATGGGAGACATTCATTACAGATCAGCAGGTCATTCAACTTCTGAGAAGGGGATTGGGCCTTCAGTCCATGTCTTCTCCTCCTCTGTCTCTCATATCAGTTGGCTTTCCACTTTCCAAAGACCCACTTACATTCAATCGTTGAGCACAAGCTGTCCAGGATTTTCTGCATATAGGCCATAAAGCTCATCACATCCTCACTCGAGGGCTTTTATTCTTGGCTGTTTGTAGTACTGAGAAAGACAGACAAGTGGTGACCAGTCATCAACTTTTCATGTCTCCAGCACTTCCTCCAACCTCTTCAGTTTACAATGGAGTCATTACTTTCCCTTCAGTGACCCATACTAAGGATGACAAAATTTGATGTCATAGTCAGGTTTTTCAGTTTTGTGCTCTACCACTTGGCCTCACTTCTACTCTATATGTTGTTTACATCAGATAGTAAGAGCTTTTTTTTGTGTTATCTTCACCCCTTAGCATTCACACTCACCATTACATGGATGACTGGCTTCTTCTTGCCCCTTCCTACTATTTTGCAGAACTACACACCTAAACTCTGGTATCAGAAGCTGGTATCAAAAAAGTAGTAGTCTATTCTTACTCCCACACTGTACCTCATACATTTAGGGGTGCTTTTAATTCCAGTCTTAGCTGGGGCCAAATGTCTCCTCTACTTATTCAGGCCACTGAACAGGTGGTTCTTCTCCACCAGCATGCACAATTCTATTTTTTTTGGGGGATGTGAGCATCCTTGATATAACTCATTCCTTTAGGTTGGGCTCACATGAGGGACCTTCAGTGGTTGTTATGGGACAGTGGAGCATTTGCACAGATATGCTGGATCTCAGCTGGTAGTTGAACAGAAATAACCCAGCTGTAGGTGTGTTTACCACCTCAATGGCCATAGATACATATGTGCACAGATGTTTCTCTTCAGGGCTGGAGTTTTTGTATAGACATATAATTCAAGGAACATTGGACAGTAGAGGAAGCTTCTCTTCACATCAATCTCATAGAATCTTTAGCTTTTCAGTGAGCTATGACTCAGTGTCTCAAATTGTTGCAAGGAAGGTGGTAATGCTTTATTTGGATGATTCCACAGTAGTCTCATCCTTTTCAAAGCAAGGGGCACTCACTCCAGTGTTTATTGTTTTTGAACAGTGGATCTTCTTCTTTGGGCACACAAACACTAGATTGTTTTCCTTGCTTGTCATGTTCATGGGGTAATTAATCTAATGGCTGACCAATTTTCTCTTCCCAACAGAGATCTTCCCACAGAATGAATGCTCCTTCCTCAAGTTTTTTGTTGGATTTACTCTTGTTTTGAAACACCACAGCTTGAGGCTTTCACCATGCATTGGAATGCTCAGCTCCCATTCTTCTGATCTATAGTACCTCATCCTCTAGCTTTGGGAGTAGAGGCTCTCAGCCAGGATTGGATGGGTCTCCATCTTTATGCATTCTCTCAGATTCATCTGCTGTCCAAGGTTCTGGCCCTGATTCTCTTGAAGTCCGGGTCAAGTTCTTCTGGTGGCACCATATTGGCCAGGTCAGCCCTGGTTTCCACTTCTCCAGCATCTTCAGGAGTGTTACCTTCTTTCCCATTCTCTCTGGTCCTCTCTTACTTCAACCTTGATCGGACATTTTTCATCCAGCAATTGGTATTATTTAACTTTTCGCATGGCTTTTATGAGGTTCATCATACGTCATCAGGGATTTACATGTTGAGTGGTGTACTTATCAATACATTCCATTTGGCATTCTTCTTTGAATTTTATCAAAGGAAATGGTTTACTTATCATCAGTGCTCTCTCAGACATAAGTGTAATCTTTCATGTCTCACTATGCAACATGTCTTCAAATTTTTGACATGGTCGTTTGTCAAAGGTTTGGCAATCTTGGCTGTTGGCCTATATGAGGATGCCTTATAAGCTCATTTTTATTTTTCTATGCAAAGAAAAGTTTTTGAATTCTCAGCTTTGTCATTACTTTTTAAATCATTTTGGGTTATCCATCCTTGTCATCCTTACGAGGTTCCTGACTTGGATATCTTGGTTCTCCATGCAGTATCATGTCCACCTTTTGAACCTTTGGGGTCATGTTCAATATGTCATCTTTCACTTAAAACATGTTTTCTTTTGTTATTAGCTAGTGGGGTCAAAGTTCAGTTGTGTTTGCATTCCATGTTTACAGGATACTGTACCATTCCAACTATGTTCTGTTTTATCTAGACAAGGTTCTTTCTACCTAAAATTGCACCAGGTAGGGAAGGAGATAAGGTTTTCTTTCCTATTCATCTTCCCTCCATTTCCCATTTTTCTCTCCATTTCCCAGTTATACAACCCTTCAGATCCAGATCATCTTTTATGCTACCCTATTCAGGCTCTCTGATGTTACGTGACATGCATTGAAGCATTTCAGGGATCATGTCACAGGTTATTTATTCATCAGGATCCTTCTGTTTCATGTGACTTTTCGTCATTCTCGTTTGGATCCCACTCAGTGGTGAGTTTTGCTTGATCCAGGTATGCTTTTACTAATCCGCATTAGACTAATAACTAAATTCCTGGTAGCAACAGGCTCTATTGAGATGGGGGTGTTCCATGAGACCACTTTGTAGCGTTCCTGGTGGTCAACAATTATTTGATATAGAATATCACATACAATGAGTAAAGCATAAAGTGACTTTGCCCATCCCTGCTAACTCCTGGATTGAACAAATCAGGATTGGTTTTCTTTTCAAAATAGAGAACATGGTTCACCTATTGCACTGTCTATGGAGCATCATTCCTCAGGATTCTCCAGTGTGAGTCCCCCCCCTCTCTTATAATGGAGCAAGGGAGTCCTTACAACTTTGTTTCCAGTTGATGGAATGGTGGACAGAGGTCTATTCCTCCTGAGTTATGTTTGTATTCTTTATTTCACTCAAGGAGAAGAGGGCAAAGCTGGTTACCCTCCCATCTTTAATCCTGGATGGTTTTCCCAGATTTTGGGTGGGGAACCAGTCCAGCCTATGCAGGAGCCTCCTCGTAATTCTGGTTCAGAGATGACATTTCGCTATCTCGTCGTGGGAGTGTGGCCCTTCTTTTTGGTCATTCTCTTACTTTTCATGGTCGTGGAAAAGGGCCCTCGACTCCTCGTCATTCTGCATGCAGATCATCACATCCATGAGCTTTTGGTTAAAGTTGATTTGTTCCACATCCTCTCTGTAATTCTATGGGGTAGGAGGTGTTACCTTGCCTCCCAGGTGGAGGAGTTAAGATTTTGGTTTGTAATCCCAGGACAGATGATCTCTATTTCTTCAAGTTGTGTGAGGTGTGAATTGGCTTCCTAATTCAGACTTCAGTTTGTTGCATTCTGAGCTTCAAGTTTGGGGGAAGACTTGTCCGGCTGGATGTTGTTTGCTTACCGTTCGTAATTCCAGTGGCTCGCATGCAACATCGTGTAACTTTCAGGTTGGGTTTCTTTCATATCATATTGCAGTCCCCATGCCCTAGCCACTACCTTTTGGATCTAGCTTTGTGTCCACAGCACTATAATAACAACAACGATATGTGGAACCTTGTTTGTGTGGTCGTGGCCTGGACGAATCTCATAATAATGAACAATGTTCACTCTGTAGCTGGTTGGCATTTATTGCCCACGTTTAGATTTTACTTTCTCTAGCAGAAGAGCATACTAGAACTAGTGCAGATCCCCACTAGTGTGTTTTATTATATCTCGATTTTCCACACCTGTTTTTCTACGTAGACACTTTCTGTGTGGATCCTGTCCTCTCCGGCCACTCCACCTGATCAATGTGGGATTCTAGCTAAAGTGTGAGTGGAGGTAAGTGTATTTCAGAAGCTTACATTTTCCTATACCGTAAATGTATTTCCGATAATACTTATCTTTTCTCACACTATCCCGCCCTTCCTCTCCATGATAGCTGGTGTTCAGATCTGATAATCTTGCCAGTCTTGAAAAAGTGAATAAAGAAGAATAACAGGGAACTTGTATATGGATCGAGTATAGAGGGCGCATTGATGAAGGTGGAGAGAGATTAAAATCGTTAGGGTCAATATAGTGGGGTATGAAGACTGGAGCAAATGAGGTAGAATTCATACCATTGCTGAGATGGGTAAACAGTAGAACCTTTCATCGGAATAAAGGTAAAGTGTGAGGGGAGGTAAGTATTATCAGAAATACAGTTTTGGTATAGGAAAATGTAAACTTTCATGTCAAAACTTTGGGTAGTTTTGATAAAAGTTCCTCATATCATCACCAATATTTGAATGAACTCAAAGGTATCGAGAAAAAAGCTTGCAGTTGTTTGAAGTAATGAAAGGAGAAACCGTATTATATTTTATTTTCCTTCTTATTCATGAAACAACTTTCATCCATTCTGCCTTACTTTTAAGTAAATCAAAAATATAGTTAGTTCTTATGAAAGTACTTGCACAAAATAATTACAGATATTAACAAAATTTATTGAATTTTGTGCTTTAGAAATTTGACTTTATAAAAGTTATCCAATATTTTAAGGATTAAGGATTTTCATTTGTATTTCTTGTTTGAGCTGTAAATGTTATGCACAGGAAGAAAAAAAGGGGAAGAATGGTAGAAGAAAATTGAAGGAGTAAAGCAATCATGACAGTTTGTTGAATATAATTTAGGAGAATCTTTATGTATTTAAAGAATGAGGAATTTTAATGGATGTATTTGTATGGTATCACTCTTCTTTAAAAACATATTATTTTATCTTTTTTTTTTCTTCCAGGTAAACTAGTCTGTATCAATCACAAAGAAAAATTGTGCTCCTGTCCACCAAGCAAACACTGTTTAAGGTATTGTTATATTTTATATTTATGGCTTTTTCCTCATATTTATGTGGTAGACTTATATTGTCATATATGTTTGATCAGATTTATTGTATTTAGGGTATACATGAAAGTCCAAATTATACATTTTAGTTTTTTCACTAAAATAACATTATCAAGGAATTTTTGATGTGAATTTTTAAGAAAGAAAAAAGTTTTAAGAATAACTTTGATGTGAAAAATTTTATTTATGTACTGAAAGTTATTAGTTTATCCATATATAATACAAGCTTTGTTATCTGACATCTTTATGTGAGGTCGCCAAGAAATTAATGTCACTTTTTTTAGATGAAAAAAACCCAAACAACTTGTATATCAAAACAAAACATTTATTAAATGAAATAGTCTCCATCCT